CTCCAAACTGTAATTTAGTAAATAATGCTGACCTAAATATTTTCATTCATGATTTTTTAGAACTAAAATGTTATTTCAGAAATTGACTCTTATAGCACAGATACTCACCACAGGGCCAGGAATACCCCGAAGACCTTCTGGACCAGGCTTCCCAGCAGGTCCCTGAGGACCAACTGGGCCAGTTTTTCCAGGAGGACCTTCGGCACCTGCTTCTCCCTGTTAGAAAATGAGATACATGAATACATTAATAATGAGAAAACACATTTTATGATTTTCTCAAAAATACTGAAAGAGAGGTTGTTCAATTATGTATGAGTTTTTAAAACACAGTATCTAAAAATACATTTTACCTTAGCACCTTTTTCACCTTGTCTTCCCTCTGACCCTGTAGCTCCAGGAGGACCCTAAAAACATAAAATTGCATTTAAAATATGCATTACATATAAAAGTGTAGTTGAAGACTTATTTACAAATGCTCCACATTAATTTTTTAATGGATTCCAATAAATTGTATCACTCTTTAGCTATTTGGTCTGAAACACGATGAGGAAATCAAAATCATTTTTGAGTATAAACTTTCAGTTAGAATATTAAAAATAAATGAAGCAAAGTTCAAGTAGAATACAAATAATCCCATCATGTCAATGTAAAGAATCATTAAACAATGTAGAAGATTTAGATAGAAGTTTTAAGTAAATGCTGATGATGTTAAATGTTAAATATTCATATAACATTAATATGTTGTTATTAGGTATTAATTGAATGTATCAGATTTCACCTTCTTTAAATACACAATAAGAGTGACTCCTTTCCTAACCTTAGAACACCCACATATTCAAGTTTTCTTATATAATCACCAACAAACTAAAGAAACACAAAATTTTAAATCTTGGCAGTCAACAGATTTGTAGTCTTTTCATCTTCTGGAACTGTGTAATTCACATAAATAAGTGGCATTAAAGATAGTATCACTTTTTAAAACAAAGTATTGGTATTAGGTGAAACATAGTATTAGGGTAAAAAAACAGAAAAAGAAATCTTCCCAATCCAAAATGTCATCCAAAGGCATAAGAGGATATTCTGGTGTTTGCATAACTTTTATATAACTGCATGGTTTGATAAGGAATGTTAATTATTACATAAACTTAAAGATATTAATAATGTTGCTCCCTGTACATATATAATTTTTTATCTTTGTAAAGTATATGTTGACCTAGTTCCTAACTTTTAGTTCTTTTGTTGACTAGTTGTATGATCTTGAACAAACTGTTGAACATTCCTGAACTTCAGCTCTTTCATTCATAAAATATTATCAGAAAGAATTTTTTGCCATAAAATTGTTAAGAAAATATATGAAAAAAGATTTTTTGAACTTTCCAGTGTAGCTGTATTGGAACGTGATATGGAATATAGTACTTAAGAGCATACAGCTTGGAATCAGTCTGCCTGGATTCAAATCCTGGCTCTTCTACTAACTAGCTGTGGGGTCTTGGGCAAATTACAGATCTGTAACACAGATCTGTAAATACTTCAGTTTACTTCTCAGTAAAATGAGAATAATAGTAGCAACCTCCCATGCTGTCATGAAAATTCAGTAAGTTGAAAATGTGTTAAGAACAGTGTCTGGGACATAGAAAACACTATATAAGTATGAGCTATTGTTATTATAATTATTAAAATTATTAGCTCTCGTTCTATAATAACATATTTTACCTGTATCTTTCAAAATTTCAGAAACCTAACAGTCAGCTTAAAAACAAAATAAGCCTTCAAAATACATTTGTAGACACCATGTCAACAAATTACTTTTTCCATATATGCTGTTTATAATGTCTTAAAAATACAAATTCCAGGTTTGAAACCACTTGTTTTAACTGGAAAATTTTAAATTTGGCTAAAAAAATTCTATGATAGGATCTTGTCATCTATAGTCATATGTTGATAATAATACACACATTAAAACTTCAAAGTGCATCTTTTTAATTTCATACTATTTGTACAAAAGGATATCTATATTAAAGCATAAACTTCAAATTTTCTTTCTTTTCTAATGCTGAACATAAATTATTTTGGTGTGCTGCTTAAAATATTAATTTATGAAAATTAGATAGTCTATTTGAAGAAATTATAATGACTATTATTTTGTAGCTATAAATTGTGAAAATCAAATAAATAATAAGTTTTCCTATCAAGTTTTTTTCTTAAACTGGCAACATAAAAGTAGGAGGTCTTAATTTCAAAAGATTGAGGAGGCAGGCCCAAGATGATGGAGTAGTCAGATGCTTCCTGTGATTCCTCTTACAACACAGACCTGAAAAAACAAGTGAATTGATTATATACGACGACTGAGGAGCCCTGAACATCAAAGGCAAAGTTCAGAAATCAGACTGAGTGACATGGGGAGGGAGAGAAGTTTCAGAAGCAGCGAGCAGTTGCCAGATTTGACCCGGCAGGAGCCGGCACCCTTCAGGCCAGATGGGCTGGCGTGTGCAGTGAGGCAAGCAGTGGTGCTCAGGAGGCGTTTTCCAAATCAGAAGAGAACGATCACCAGAGTCTACTTGAGCCTCCAGAAGAACCAGTGAAAAGCAGCACTCAATCAGTAAAAGCTAAGTACATGTGTCTGACCTACTGTGTGGATCAAAAAACACCCCCTCTGGGAAAAACCTCTCTCCCATTTATCTGCCCCCTCCCCAATGTGCACTGGTCCCTGACCAGATTCAGTGTTTGCAGACTCCCCTGGGCCAGAAGTAGGACCCATCATGCACCCTGAGCCATTCTCCCAGCCTTGGAGAGGGAACAAATTAACAAACAGGAAAAAATAATCTGCCAGCTCACCTAAGCCGGGAACTCAGGATAGGCACAAGTCCTTTACCTAGGCACAGGCGTAAGGGGTCCATGGACTCTGAATGCCTTTCACCCATGCATAGACCTGTGTGGGTCCATTTCAACAGCATAGGCCCAGTTCAACAGGGTATATACCTGAGCCTAACTTCAACTGTATCAGCTATAAGGTCAAGTGGCAGGTTCATGACATTTGACACTGCTCTGCCCATTAAGCAGGGTCCTCACCTACCCCCACCAGGGGCTGGTGGATTCACCTACACCACCTAGCCACCCACGACAGGGGTCCAATAATAAGTGGTGCCCCATAGTCCTTACTGTCAACAGCACTGAGTGCTCATAATCCAGCTGCAAAACACATCCACCTATGTGCCCTAGGGAATGGGGACACGTTTTCCTCCCAGACACTCAGGGGAAGCCGTCAGCCCTCTGCCTTGCTCAACACATGACCCTCTACTGCAGCCAGATACCTGTGCCTACACCAATCACCCCTGCCTGACTAGGACTGTAGGTGAGAGCCTGCATCACGCACTTGGTGACCAACGACCTGGACCCCTGAGATGAATCCATACAAGAAAAGTAAACAGAATCCCAGGCTTACATACCTAGTAACAGATCTAACCATCTGGTGACAGGATGTTAGAGCTTCCAAGGTGCCAATAATCAAACTAGCTCACATGAGCAGCCTATTGGGCATATCAAAACAAACAAAACAAGAAGCACACAAAACCCAGTAAGCAAACATAAAATAAATAAATATAATAACTTATTGATGGCTCAGAGACAACAGTCAATATCAAATCACATGGAGGCAGACCATGATGGCTTCAGCAGGCTCCCAAAACAAAGAATCAAGAAATTTTCCGGAGAAAGAAAACTTTTTGGAATTACCAGAGGTAGAATACAAAAGATTAATATACAGAACTCTTCAAGAGATAAAGAAGGAGATAAGGCAAAACACAAAACAAGCCAAGGAACAAACAGACAAAGCAATAGAGGAAGTCAAGAAACTTAGAGAAGAGCATAACGACAAAAATAACAGGCTGCAAGAATCCATAGAGAGACAGCAATCAGAAATCCAGACGATTAACAATAAAATTTCAGAATTAGAAAACTCAATAGAAAGTCATAGGAGCAGAATTGAGGCAATGGAAGTCAGAATTAGTGAGACTGAAGATAAAGCA